TTTGATGAGTAGTATTTTTAAAAAACTTAATTGACTACAACACTATAAAAATTTATAATCAATTATAAGTATTAATTAAGAAAATAGAATAAAAAAATATTAAATTAGATTTAAATGATGTTTTAATATAAACAATAATTTTTAAATCTGGCTCCAATATTTAACATCTTATAGCTATCTGATTAGCGTTGTCGAAACGACTCTTTGTTCCTGAAAGGCTCGTGCTCGGCTCTTAAGTAAACGAGCAGAACACGAACATATTTTTTGAGCTCCAAATATAAACGAGTCGAACACGAGTTGAGCCTATACACCCCTAACCAAATCCCAACCTAAAACCCAACTCAGAAAAACTGGGGAAGGGGTGGACCAGAACCCCTTCAATGCATGCATGCATTGCATGGATGTGCTCCTCCTCCCAACCCCACTCTACACATTAGCTCCTTATATACGGTAACTGGTTAGGGAGAATGCAGGGAGAGAGAGAGAACGGCAGAGCGAAGACGAAGAGAGAGAGAGAGGGGGGGAGGGGGCTACCGTTGCGGAGTATAACCTGCCCTTCTTTCGCTTCTCAGTCACGCCGCCTCTCTAGATGACCATTGCAATCTCTTGGTCTTCTTTCAGTTCTTCCGCATTCCTCCCGAATCCCAATAACTCCTCTCTTGCCTTCTCTCAAGGCAGATAACGTCGCACCCAGCTTGTGCAAGCCCTCACCGCCTCCTCTCATTGTCGGTGAGTTTCTTTCTGATCCGCAACCCGATGCCCTTTCGTTTATCTGTTTGTGATTGCGCCCGATCGTGTTCTCCCAGTTTCCGATCGTTTTTAGTTGATTTTCTGCCGTTTCTGCATTCTTTTCGGGATTGTTATGTTTCTTGGAAAGAAGTTTGGGTTTTGTTTGGGGATGATCGGGGTTTTAGGATGTGTTTAAATCTTTTCTGAGTATTTGAGATTGTTTTCTAGCGGGCATTGATGCTTTTAAGTTTTAATGACCGGTTACATTTGATGATTGTGTCAGATTGGTATCTATAATCTTATATGAGAGTTGATCCAGCTAAGGTATGAATTTAGAGCGTTGGAATTGCTCGACTAGGTCTGTGTGTTTTTTTTGCTCTGTTCTTCTTTTCTTGATGTGGATTATTTTGTGAAGGGGAGGAATTTTGGGGATCTTTCAGTTTCAAGTGTATTATGAATGGATTTATGTTTCTTTCATCAACAATTCAGTTATTTTTGCATGACGTTTTGCAGCATTGAATTATGACAAGTTGCTGGAACTTGGAATTTTGTTCGGCCGTTCTTCTCCTGTTTATTTATGATGAAATGAGAATTTGATTTGGATTCTGAAGTTTGTGTTCCTGATTCTATTTTTTTCAGTGAAATTAGTGATATTGACTTGTTGAATCCATTATATTACTTTGATTAAGGCATGTGGTTTGGAAAAAGTATGCTCATTACCTGATATTAGTACTTAAAATTTTGTTGAAATTGGACTTTTGGTGCCTGAAGGAATGCGTTGTTGGATCTGCGTTTCTGAGCAGAACTGGCTTTTCTAGGCACTTTCAGGCTTCATAAAAGATCATTCTGCTGTTTGTTTCATGGAAGGAGACATGGTTGAGCAAGACTATGATGAATTTGAGATGCTTCTAGGGGAAATTCCATGTGCAACTTCTGGAAACCATTTTTCAAGACAAGGTAGCTTCACTGCGCACTCTCGAGAGTTACATAAAAACTCCACGGGGAAGGCGAGAGAATTTTCTTCTTGCAACTTGGCTGCTAATCTGCCTTCTCCAAGCAGAAAGGATTCTGAACCGTATAATTTTCCTCGGCCTCCTACAACTAGAGGTTGCGCCTCTTTTAATGGCAATGTGGCCTTCTCCAAAAGTCCAGAACATCAAAAACTCCACAGAACAATAAATTGTGGTTATGAAAACTGCCTGACACTGTTACTAGATGAAATGAGCATTAATGAGAATCTGACATCAAAACCAAGTTCTCCTGCTTCAGTTATGAACATGGAGAGCCCTTTGAATCACATTTTTTTACAAAGTGGACAGATTGTCAGCCGCCAAAACAACACCCTTCTGGGATTTGATGCCACAGATATGAGTATTCCCCCATCTGCAAGTATTGAGCTAGAGAAACAGTCTCCTGCTCTGAAAAGAAATGAGCTTGTAAATCCATGTGATAGAATTGATGCTGAATGTAATGTGAATTTATTTAAATCTGGTAATGTTTATGAACCAAACCAAATCCCAGAGAGTTTATTGGGTAACTCTACTGAGAATCAGCAGGTCTGTCCAATGAACACTATGGCTATGCCCATGAATCCATGCTTTAATACTTACCAGTTGCTTCCAACTGCACATGGAGTACATTTACCTAAATTATATCAGCCCAACTATTTTGTGGATACTCAATCCCCTCCCATGCATCTAGCTCAACCAGGTATGTTTAGGCATAGTAGGGAAGAGGAAAGTTTTGGTCGTCTCTATCAACATTACTTGTATGCACAGAATTTGCAAAGTCAAAGACCTGAAATCCGTCAAGTTAAAAGGAGTATGAATTTTGGCATGGGGCCTTTCAATGGAAATAATTTTCACCAATGCTCTGGCCTTTCTATCCCTCAACACCTTGAACATTGTAATCAAAATTTACATTTGAACGATCCGACAATTTATAATAATTCTAGTTTGTTGGATTATCGCCAATACTTGTGTCAACAGTCAACTGGGAGACTTGAGAACTTTTGGCCTACGAATGGAGAGAAGGTAGTATCTATTAGTAGTCTAAGTTGTTCTGTCAAGGATTCTCTGGGGCATCAGAGTTTTGAAGTTAGAAAGCAAAGCTTTCCTGAGATGTTTTTAACAAGGTCACATGGTGTGAACTCAATGGGAGTTCTTAGGCCCAATCTTGTTACACCTGATCAGCGATTTCTCCTTGATGAAAACAGGTTGAGATGGTCAAATGGCGATGCCCATCTGTCTTATGGTCTGAATAATAGATCCTTGCAATTTGATGATCAAAGCTATGAAGGTTCATGTCTTGATGTATTTTACTCCGGGCTTGCTTCAAAGTCAATGCAGAGAAATTTTAATTCAGTCGATGAAATATCAGGGAGAATAGTTTTGATGGCAAAGGATCAGCATGGCTGCCGTTTTTTGCAGAGAAAATTTGCTGAAGGCAGTCAGGAAGATATAGACAATATCTTTTCAAAGATTATTTTCCACATTGTTGATCTCATGACTGATCCTTTTGGAAATTATCTCATTCAAAAGCTTCTTGAAGTATGCAATGAAGAGAAAATAATGTTTATACTGAAGGTCATTACCAGAAATAATGATGAGCTTAATAGAATCTCTTGTGATATGCATGGGTATGTTTCTCGTTTTATGATTTATGAAGAAATTAATAATATTGCTTGTTCATTTTTCATTTTTAGTTACTTTTTTCATTAAGTGCAGGACTCGTGTTGTGCAAAAGATAATTGAAACTGTGCAGACTCCAGAGCAGATTTCTATGATTGTGTCATCGTTAGCGCCTAATATCATCTCAGTAATGAAGCATATCAATGGCAATCATGTTGCACAACGGTGCTTGCAATATCTTTCTAAGTTTAGCATGGTAACCTTTTCAACTCTTATGGAAACAAACATAATCACAACTTGCACTTATGCTTCCATTGTAGTCATCAAAACTTTAATTTATTTAATATTGGTTAACTTTTACCAATATTATTTGTTACATCCCAAGCTCTTAGATTGTCAGTTTTCATCAATTGTTAGTATTTTCCAGTGATGTCGCTTTATGAAATGCTTTTTTATCAATTTTCCATCTGATTAAATGTCTTTCTTAGATCAGTATTTTTCTTGTGCTGAGTTGAAATTGTTGTTGATGTAAACATATCAGAAACCTGTGCTCTGTATATCAATGTCTAGGCTTGAGTTGTGGGATTAAATTCATACTTTATCCTATAAGAAAAGAGGCACTTAAATGCTGTTTAACTTGTTGATGTGATGGTTTGACAATCTTTGCCATACACATCTGCATCTTCTGGTCATGGTGTGGCCTTTCACTTGAACATTAAATTGCAGAGATTTGTGCTAACTTTATAAGTTTTCTTACTTATGTGAATGTTGATTCAAGCTTTTTTTTATTCTAACATCCTATACAATAAGACACGGTTATCCAGTTTTGTTTCTTGGCTTAAGGTTTTGAAATAAAAATTGTAGTTACCTAAATTAAGTATTTAAACAATGATGGCATCTAGTCACGTTATGGTTTGTCCATCTTGACCAGCAAACTAGTAAGTAATGGTGATGATTAGTTTGAATATGTTGATATGATAGCCGTTGCTTCAAATCACAATATAAAAAAATTATACCAGTTGGTTTTACTTTCAAGTTTTGTTGCTATCAAAGTCAAGGTCTTATTAACATCTAATCCTTCATACCTATCACATTTAATAAGCATTATATGTGGAGATAATTGGGTTGAAGCTTCTTCATTCAACTTGGTGTAGGTGGAGATTAGTGTAATGGTCGGTGTAGTGATTGGAAGTTTGTATTTATCTTGGTTAGTGTTGTATCGAGGAAATTTTTTTGTGGATGTGCAATAATAACCATTGAAGGGCTGAATGTCACATTTGTAAGTTATAGGCCTTTTCAAGGAGAATTTGGCTACTATTATAGGGAATTGTGACTGATGAAGTTATTTGATTTTGGAGACGTAAGCTCTCCTCTATCTTTCATGAGTATGGTCAATGGAAGGGGGATACTAGCGTGATAAAAATTTGAGGGTAATTTTTTATTGTAATTTTTCTTTTTTGGACTAGTGGAAATTTATCCCTCTTTGTGACCATGGACATAGATAGATATCACTGAACCATGCAAATTTTCTTCTTACATTCTTCTTTAATTGTTCTCCTTGCAAATTATTTTTCCTATTCTATTAGTTTTCATTACTCTTGGGTTCATGCTTCTTCTAACAGCGGAAGGAAAATATAATGAAAGCAAGCTAAGTCACAAAAGGTTGATAAGCTAGCAACTCTATTACATCAACAGATTTTCTATGTAAAGCGTGATCATGAAGCTATTTGCACTTCAGAGTGTAGCTTACGTTTCACTGCTTCAAAGCATGCTTTAGATCTCACACTTATCTTGTTCTTTGTTTTATAAGAACATGCTTCACTACACTTTTAACGGCAATAATCTAAGTACATTTTATTGTTTTATGAAATTATGTTGCGATCCTATTCTTTAAATATTAGGCAATATCCTACTGTGCTTGATAATTCTGTAGAATGTCCTTCATAAATCTTGAACCTTTTATTTTTCTGTTGAAAGCACATGTAACAGTGAAGACTTATGTTTTATGCATACTTCAACATTTAAATGAGGGGATCTTGCATAGCATTTAATTTGTTTATTTGGTAATTTACTTGATCTGAAAATCCAATCACTCTTTTATCATTGCTTACATTAGCCAACATAATCTTATTTTAGGCTTAAATAATAACAATATTTGTTAAGTAAAGAATGTTTTTTTAAGGAGCGAGATCTCTATATGCATTGGCAATAAGGATCTATTGTTCACTTTCTCAATTATTATGTGAAGAATATCGGGGATGAGCTAACCTACATGTAATGCTACTTGTTTAGAAGTTATAGGTTTTATGAGCACTATCATTATCTAATGCAGAAGACAAATGTTGTAGACTTGATGTGCTCTCTGGAGATTTGTTATTGCTGTTAATTTTTTTTGCTTTTCATTTCAGCAAACTTTGGAGTTTAGACCCAAGGAAGAATGCTTGCATGTATTTACTTGCTCAGTTCAGTATGTAGTTGTGTGAGATAAATAGCCTTCTTAGAAAATTGAAAACGGTGCATTGTTATGGAAATGTTTAATTTTGAAGGCTGTTGATCCATTTAAAATAACAGGAGGAAAATCCAGAATTTAAAGCCAGAATTGACAATTTAATCAACCATGAATGCTTTTTTTTTATTCTTTTGAGCTGATGAAACTTCAGGACTTATTTTCACTATGAATTTTTTTATTATCAGGATATGTTTAATCCGCCTAAGCACCGTAGCATGCATTGCATACCTCTAAATTGCTGCCAGCCAGTTCATGTTTGTACTTTTTTCATCTCTTCAAACTTTTTCGAATGTTCAATGACCTTTTGATAGCTCTCAGATATTTAAATTAGTGTACAATTGAACATTTTTCTTTTCAGTGGTTATTGGATGCATGATACGGAATATTTTCTATGTTCCCTTCATGCTATGCATTGACAGTATGCTTGAAGTATCCACAATTTTGTGAACCTCCTTAATTGTCCTGTCAAAAAAGTTACGAGGCCAAAAGTGTTTATTACAATAAAAGTGCGTTATCAACCTTTGCTCATCCATGTCTATATCTACACATGGTTTTGCTACTGATTTGGCTTTCGGCATGGTAATGCTGATTTGTTAGCATGAACATCAGCATATTCTCCTTGAGCTTCTCTCTCATAACAAGAATGAGAAAAAGTGACAGTAATAGTAAAGGTGGCATTTGTTATCTAGTTAACTAAATCAGCCTACTTATTTGGGTCTGCTTTTCATTTGATTGTTGAATGTGCTGAACATGTTAAATTTCTTTCCAATCAACTTGACAATATAAAAAAAGGCTTCTAACACGGTTTTGATATTCAAATACTCGGTAAGAAATCCCTTGGTATGCTAGTGATGAAAGACTGGGTAAGAGGCAATATCCGTTTAAACTCAAAGCATGCTTAGTTTTTGAGCCACTTCATAATTAACAAGCTATTGCAACTTGCATCGCAAATCAATGGGTTAACTTAAACTTTTTAAGAGTTAATTTTTTTTTGCTAAAAAGTGGCTTGCATGAACTCTATCTACATCTTGACCCCGTAGGCTGTTCTGTCATTCAATAGAATTGTTATTTATTGTTTGCTGCATAGCTGTCTCTATTGTAACAGGGCTAACTTGAAAATTATTTTTTCCGTAGTCTTGAAATTTAATTAAAGTTAGAAACATGGCATGATCTATGTTCTTGTTTCCCTTGTATTTTTTGTTTTGCTTGCATTATTTATCTAATAGAAGTATCTTTTTGTAAACCAAATTTAATAAATCAGAACAGTGTTGAGAGACATTTAAAGGCAGATAATAGTGTCTGGATCTGTAAAACATTTGAATACTGGTAGAACATAACTCATTTTCTAACACGGTCCAAAAATAGCTTGAACGTTCTATCGCAAACAATTTTCTTTTGGGGCCCAATCTTGTTACTCTAGAAGCCACATAAGAGGCGAAAATCCAACATTGAGAAAGATTAATACATTTTATAAGGAGCATAAATATCATTAAATAAATTTTTCTAGCTTGAAGCTTTCTTGAAAATGAAATCAAGGCCATTGGCAGTACATTGATAAATTATATGTAGCCTTAAACTTTTAGAACCTCTTGTTATTTTAATTTCTAGCATAGGCTTAAATATGAAAAATATTTACTAATTATTTTTATTTTTTCAATTTTTTTTATTTTTTGAAATTTTTTATTTATATAAATATTTATTGAATTTTTAAATACCTAAAAATGTGTAGAATGTGCAATCTATTTCACTTCTTGTCCTTCATCCATTTTGTATTAGTGTGATCCTCGGGTCATGTATATGCTCCATCAATTTATATGGAGGTACTCAATACTAGCTAAGCAGTCCCACAATGATTATTGGTTACATCTTTGGGTTCTCACTTGTACTTATTTTTAACTCTAAATGCCAAACAAGCTATGATTGCATGTAGAAACTCTCTGCTGATTCATTACACGTGAAATAAATTCAAAAAAGGCCTTCTCTTGTGATCATTAAACTCCATCCTGCGATCCATAAAAAATACTGCTTGCTTTTGGCAAGTTACATTTGTATGGAATGTTTAGAATTAATAAATGATTAATAAATCTTGACACCTAAGAATTGGGACACGGATAAAGATGATATTATCTAATTATCATTTGTTTTTACAGTTTTTACTCTTTTTTTTTTCCTTTATTATTGAAGATGAATCTCATCCTATGAACTCCATTCCACTAACTGTCAACCATTATCTCACAGCTTCTTATTGATGCTGCAATTGCTCATTGTGTCGAGCTGGCCACAGATCGCCAAGGCTGCTGTGTACTTCAAAAATGTCTCATACATTCAGATGATGAGCAAAAGAAGAGGCTTCTTGATGAGATCTCATCCTACTCACTGATACTTTCTAAAGATCAATATGGGTATGCGATCGCATTCTAATATCGTTGTTTATCACATTTTTAATTTTAAACTGCTCGAATCCCTAACACCATGTAACAATGAATCCTATGCCTTTGAGCAGGAATTATGTAGTTCAATATGTCCTGGATCTAAAAGACCCATGGGCAACCGCTGTTGTACTGGAACAGTTTCTGGGAAATTATGACCATCTTTCAGTGCAGAAGTACAGCAGCAATGTTGTTGAAAAATGCCTCAAACTTGCCGAAAAGGACGATTTTGCCAAAATTATTCAGGAATTAATGGGATCTGATCTGCTATCACAGATCCTGCAAGATCCATACGGAAACTATGTAATGCAAACCGCTCTAATCGAATCCAAGGTACCATTGCATGTCGCACCATTTTCTTTTTTCTTTGTTGAAAGCAGGACTATTGCTTGCTTTTCTTATTCTGTGATTTAAATGGCATATAGTACTAAATAATCAAATGTCATTATGGTAAGGTGCACGAAGATCTTCATACTGATCTTGTGGAGGCCATCATTGCACTTGCTCCTACCCTGCGCAGCAGTCCTTACGGGAAGAAAGTTCTCTCCACCGCCTGTCTGTCTGTCAAGAAGTAACATTTTTGACATTTTTAATTGCACAGTCAACTTTTTGCTTTATTGCATAGTACAGGTATGTCTTACAGAAAGGAAATGTAAAGATAAAAAAAACCAAAACCAAAACTGCATTGGTGCTGTAAAGAAGGTAATAGGAATTGTTCTAAATTTAAATGATGTTATCACTCAAGAAGTTCTGCATAATGGTTATACCAATTTATTTTGGGAAACCAGTTTCTTCTTGAAGGTTTGTTAGCTTGTCTTTTGGAGTCGAAACCGAGGGGAAAAGTTGTAGTTGCTTCGTGTAATGTATAGAATCTTATAATATTTTGTGATTGTCATTGGAATCATAGGTTATTTGAGATGTTCATTGGCTATATCGTCCTTTTTCGTGCTTTTTTTTCGTTCTTGCAGTGCGAATAATTTGTTTACCATAAACTATCTTTTATTACTTTATCATGCAGATGGACCGCAGTGCGAATAATTTGTTTACCAGTTTCAATTTCTTCTGAAAATAGTGTAAACTATCTTTTATTACTTTATCATGCAGATGGACTTTTTGTTTCTTCTTTGGGGCAATTACATATAGACCACCCGAAACTTGCTATTTACAAATCAACCATCCTTTCTTTGTCCATTTTCAAATTCTCGCTCAAATATCAAGATTCATGATAAAACCCCAACCCATATTTTTTAGTTTTTGTCAAATTCTCAAGAGTTTGATCGTGGCATGTGTAAATACATTGGTTTTATTTTGGGGGCATTTCCATACATACCATATAAGTCCTATGTGTTTACATATTTAACTCCTAATCTTTGCTTTTTATTTTTAAACCTCCCAAATCTTTCTTATCCCATTAAAAAATACCGCCATGCTAACTTTTTAAATTTTGAAATACACCTTTTCATAATAATTAAGCTGGTATGTTTGTAAATCTTCCTTTCTTTTTGCAAGTTTCACTTTTTTGGTACTTGCATGTAGGGCTGTCAAAACGGCTCGTTGTTCGCAAACTGCTGGTGTTCGGCTTGTTAAGAAACTCGTGTTCGGCTCGTTCGCAAAGTTAATGAGCTGAACACGAACAACACGAATAAATATTTTTTCGTTCGTGTTCGGCTCGTTTTAGCTCGAAATACTACTAATCAATTATATATATATAT